CGCATTGTATAATGGTTTAATTGCGGAAAGAATTTATGTTTTTTTTTTGGGGTTTGGAAGTGCCTTTTTCTGGGAGGGAGGCGCCTCTTCTCCCGAGCTTCCCGGTGACCTCTCGCGGGAAGACTTGGAGACAAAAGACTCCGTGTCCTGCATCTCTCTGAGGAGCTGACCAAAAACCAGGCAAACTCTTAACAGGAGTCGCCTGGATGGGAACATATGATCCAGATTGTGATTTGGTATCATCCTTACGTTGCTGCTTTTGTTGGTTTGATTCAGTAATTTGTTTTATTGTTTTGTTCAATTCAACAATTTGACTTGTTAATTATTTTTTCATTTCCTTAATATCAGCAATTTCTTTATCCTTAGCTGCAAGCACCTGACTGATACTGCTTGCACTGGGAGTGTTGTTAGTTGCTACTGAAGCATAGGTAGTATTGGGCTTGTTGGTCAAGCCTTCAACTTTCCTCTTGGCTTCATGGTAACTACCATCATGACCTCTCATGTATGCTAATATTTCAGTCTCCTTCTTCAGGCTGCTGCACACAGCAGAGCCTGACTGATGGGGACTTCCACAGTTAGCACACTTGAAAGTGTTTCCAGTACATGTGTCATGAGCTCCAGCACATTTACCGCAAGTAAATTTATCAGTATCCTTATCAATACAGCGTAATGAGGTGTGTCCAAATGTTTGGCATCTATTACAGCACATAGGTTTTTGAATTCAAGATCTTACTTGGACACGTTCGTATCCAATATAGACAGGAATTTTACTTGAAACAAAGGTCAAAAACACAATCCGGTTTCCTTCACACATTCCCGTCTTTCTTGGTCCATGATGCCTTGGTCCTTCATGTTTTCAAGAATTTCACTTTCATCCATCATTCTCAAATCCCTATGAAAGACTACTCCCTTACAGTTATATGAGCCAACATAAATAGTTACTCTTACCTTGAAATCATGAATCTGCGTCAGTTTAAGTTGTTAACCTGGGATTTGAATTGCACTTTTACAAGGAAGCTACCATCTCGCAATTTCTTGACCATCAAGGACCTTGATGATGAAGCAACTGATTTTCATTCACGCATCTGACAGCCAAATACCTTGCATTCTCTGGAGGGATAGCATGAGGTCGTTCTCGTTGGTCAATTGTAGTGGTTCCATTATTCATAGTCGTGGTCTTAGAGGAGTCATGGGTCGCCCCTCCTCTAGGAGAAGGGGTAGCCGGGGGATCAGTCATCATGGGCATCGGACAAGTCCGACCCCTGGGCGCTTGCCCGTTGTCCTGAAAGACCAATAAACCCCTTAACTATTGGTAATCAACCTAACAGCAATGGCTAAGAGAGTGTGGCAGTTAATCGTCCTCTACCCCTCCAGTGGAAGCCTGGTTGTGTTCTCCAATACCACATAGGGATCGAGTTAAGTGGAGGACACTTCCCTACCGCCAAACTACCCGAAGCGAAGGACGGGAAGTAGATGCCCATCCCAAAGCGAATACGGGAGCCCACAAGGCTCAGGGAAGTCACATTAAGAGAAGGAAGGAATTCAGAATATAAGAAATAGTGCGCCCAAAGGACGCCCCAGATTACTGGGCCTAACTAATCAGGGGTCAATGCCCGTGAGGGCTACCCTGGTGCAGAAGAGAGCTGCAAGTCTGAGGTGGGGTGCTGACTAATCCTACTGTAGTCTCGTGTGACCTGCAAGATCAAAGCACTGAAATTTACGTTATGCAACACAGAAACAACAATATCGAGCGAGACGAGAGGCCCTGGACTCTAGGGTAACTCAAGTGGCACACGATTTTTAATTTGTTGCTGCTGCGTTTTTAAACAAGGTCTGAGCTGGTCAAGATCTCATACACGAGTCAGAGGCGCTATGATGACTCGTTTAAATAATAAAATGAAAATAAAAGGTTTACTTTACTTGTTTAAAAGAAATCAAATAAAACTGAAGGCCGTTAAAAGAAAGCTAAAATAAATAAAACATAAAAATACGAAAATAAAATTCGGACGCAAACTGCAGATGGCTGCCATCGATGCCCACGGATGGTGCTGAGCCTGGTGCTGCTGGCTAGAAGGGGGTGTAGCCGACCCCCGCAACCTGCAGCGCAGCATACTTCCCCCAGGTTGGGTCCAGGTCCACATCCTGTCCTCTCGCCCTCACCATCAGCAGCTTCTCGACGACGCATACCGAGACCTGATTGGTTGACCACGGACACCTCACGGCTCACCTATTGGACCGCAGGCTCCCCTCGTTCCCGGGTGGCTGGCACAGCTCAGACCCACTTAAGCTCCCGCACCCGGGCCGAGTTCATCACTCACGATCCTCCAGCCGAGCAAGACAGCCAGCAGCAACTAGGCCTACCCAGGCCTTAGCCGACGGGTGAGCCGCATCTCCAGCATACCAGCCATACCTGTGGGCACACACCCACACACAAAAGCTCCTTAAAGAGATGATTGACACCAGTCTATGGCAGATACCAATCCATTGCCATAGGGGGACTCGCCTAGTCTGGACCTCACGTCCAATACAATGCATATTGTATCGCAACCCATCCCCATCTATTGACTTCGTATTTCCATAAACGCTGCACACACACATGCAAGCGCGCGTACAGTGACAATGCGTCACTGCGGTTTTGAGTTCAGTTAATATTCTATAATTAAGAAAATAATGCAATATGTTTAGTTCTGGCGAAAAGAAGAAACTCGAGTCACGTAACTGGTTACATTAGCCGCCAACACATGGTGCAACTACGAAAAGCATTTACAAAGGACTCGGCGATTTTCATTTGATTTGCCTGCTGTACATAGATGTTTAAAAGAAATATTTAGCTTTTTATATTTCAAGAAATGTGCAGTTATTATTTATCCTTGTGTTGAAAGAAGAGGGAGGGCGAATACCGCCTGGCCTCCATAAGTGTTGCCATTTCGATGAAGAGGATTTCAGGAAATCGCATTTGGAAAATATCCCACTACAAAGTCGACGATAACGAATGTCACACGTTTTGTTGTCACATTTGAGGTAAATGAAAGATCAAATGACATATACTTTCCAAAAATAGGATAATAATAAGCACTTGTTATTCATAGGCTTCGAATCACATTTTCTTACAAACAACATTCATGAAAGATACTATTTACGCTACGTTTACGTCGATGAGGTTGCTAGATGTACAAAAGGGGTACCCACTTGTAATGTAATTAAGAAACTGTACCTGTACCAGTTAGTAATATACGACCATTATGGCGAACCGCGGAATATCGTATTTGGATCTGAGAACATTGTTTTTGTTATTTTAAAATTATATTAAATTGAAGGTAATTTTTTTTCATTTATTCATTTTTTATTTACTTTATTTATTTTGTGTTGTTTCGCCCTCTTGCTTTTATGTGCCAGACTACATCTGTTCGGTAATTATACTCGATAATTTAATAAAAGTACAGTGATTGTGTTCATGCATGGTGCTTGCGATAATGACGGCCAATTGAGACGGTCCTCGTTTCCCTTCCATTCCACAATTCGAATATTAATTGTGAGATGCCGTAAACCTGTTGTAAGGGACTAATTATATATCAGTTGTGATGTTTGTTATACAGTGTGTTATGGTTGTGTAAATGAATTCAAAATTTAAGTTGATTTATAAAAATGCTATAAAGTGTACAAATGAATAGTTAGGCATATATTGTTGAACAGATCTAGGGACGAAACCATATTTTAATGTTCAATGTAAGCTTCATTCTTATGAGCTTAGAATACATTTTCCTTTCTATTCTACCAAATCCAAATAAATAGTTCTTATCAAATGATATCCATGAAAGTAATTATACTATTCAAAAGTCGAGAGAGAAGCGTAACCACTGTCGTCCTCACAGAGTCTAAACGGCGTTTGATTAGGGGAAATTAATCTTATTTTTACAGCTTTACATAACAAGTTGCATGCTTTGTAGGTAATAAATTGTAACTTATATGATTAAATTTATTTTCCAGACCCCGATTCCTCCAGTCGAGGTCCCTGCTGAAGGACCTGCTCTTTGTAAGTCTCTGTCTCCGCGCACACATACATATATGCGTACATGGTTACATACATGCGCACGCACACATGCACACACACACACACACACACGCATGCAAACGTACACCCGCACACATACAAACATACGCTCAAACCCACAGATACAAGCATAGGCACACACACACACTAAAACGCACCCACACACTTTGCCATTATAATTGCTATATTTGCTGTGGTCATTATTGTCAAAATCGTGATTTTTTTATTACTAAATACGAAACACAATGGTTGGAAACATAAAGATATGTTGAGAAATGAGAAATTGTCAGTAATGCAGCTGTCACTTTCACGCCATGCTATCTGCACTCACACACCACCCAACACAACACACAATACCCAAACACACACTATAATCCATACTCAAAATTAGCACCATTTCCCCCTCCTCTCAGCTAACCAGCGCATCGTGGGAGGCTATGAGGCAGAGCCGTACAAGCGCGGGTACCAGGTTTGTTTGAACAAAAGGAAGTTTTGTGGGGTGTTGTCATCAGTAAACTGTTTGTCCTGACAGCTGCCCACTGCATACCAGGGTGAGTACTGATGGTGACGATGTTGATGATAATGATAATAATGCTAATGGTAATGTATATAATGATATATTCACAATAATGATAATATAATTATCAAAGATATCAATAATGATAAGAATGATATTGATATTAAAAGTAATATTATAACAACAGCAACAGTATGCTGGCATAGCCCAGTCCTGTTTCTGCATGTTACAGCTTCTACATTTTCTACTCTTTCTTCGCCATAATAATTTGCTCTTCTCTCCTTTCTTTTCATTTTCCTTTTTTTTTTTTCCTTAGCAAGAATAGGCGAATGACTGTAACTGTGGGCATACACGATCTAAAGGTGAAGGAGAGCTTTACCCAGGTGATTCCCGTTGCAAAAGCATTCCTTCATCCGGACTATTACAGGACAAGGCATAACCAATGACATTGCTGTCCTGAAACTGGAACAGAAAATTAAAATGACTGGTGCGTTGTAATGTTATTCTTTTCGGTTTACGTTTAAGGGTGTAAATGTGCTTGTTTGTGTTTGTGTTTGCATATGTGTGCATGTGCCTATATATTTATACATTTGTCTATACACGTTTTCGTAAAAGTCAACGAAATAATGGCATTGAGACTGAAGATAGCAATTGGCTTCATGTCTCTTATTGCTGTGCACGCTTCTACTGATGTTTGTAAACTCGACGTGAAAGAGATGTTCAATGCCAAACTTGCATCTGTGGCAGACAGTTGTCCCCGGCGAGATATCCGTATTGTTCTGGGTGACTTCAATGCAGTATCGCTGTGATCGAGCTGGCTATGAGATGTCTGTCGGTCCTCATGGTTCGGGAGGTGATACCGGCAGCGAGAATAGCCTCCTTTTCCGGGACTTTGCTAGGTCCCAGGATTTGAGGATTTCTGGTTCCTGGTTCCAGTGCTGAGTTCTGTGGTACTGACCATAGATTGGTTGTGGCTACCCTCCAGGTACACTTCAAAACTCCCCAGCGGTCATTTCACAGCACTCGACAATCTGACGGACCCTGTACTTGTGTGGGACACCTTCAAGCGCGAAACACTTGATGCAGCCCAAGAATCGTTAGGTGAACGACCGAGGGCAAGACAGAATTTTATCTCACAGGAGACACTGGAAGTCATAGATACTTGCCATGCAGCTCGTCTGGCAGGGGATTGGGATTTGCACCATTCTCAGGTGCGCAGAACTCGGTCTCTGTTAAGAAGGTACAAGGAACAGCTTATTAGGAGTCTTGCTGAGGAGGTCGAAGGCCATTTCTTAGTAAATGACCTTCGTCCTGCATACCAAGCCCTGAGAAAGCTGAACTCCAAGCCCTCACCAAAGTCACAGCAGTTCGCTCAGTAAGTGGTCAGATCGTCAGATCCTGTTGCGGTGCAGGAGTGTTGGACTGAGTTTTGAGCAGCTGTACCAGATTGACCCACCAACAGTTAACTTGGATGGTAGTGCCAAGATTACGTTGACGGACAAACTCATCAGTGAGGATCCATCCTCCCTAACTGAAGTTAGGGAGGCGATCTCCAAGCTGAAGAATGGCAAAGCAGCGGCTTTCCAGCTGAACTGTTAAACGCTGGTGGTGAACCTATGGCACAGAGGTTGCATGCTGTCCTGGCTGCCATCTGGCGGTCAGGTACACCCCTATTAAGGGGTGTGGTCATCTCTCTCTGGAAGGGGAAGGGGGACCGATGGGACTGCAGCAATCACCGAGGCAAGGTTCTTGCCCACATCTTTCTGAGACGTATCAGGGACTACCTACTGAGGCATTAGAGGCCGGAGCAATCTAGATTCACTTCTGGTAAGTCCACAATAGATCATATCCTTGCGCTTCGAGTCATTTTAGAAACCGTCGTGAGTTCGGGTGTGGGCTGCTTGCAGCTTACATCGACCTCAAGAAGGCGTTCGGAAATCACTCTGTGGGAAGACTGAGACTGAGAGGAATTCCAACGAGGATTATTAGACTAATAGCAAGTCTGTATACTGGTACTGAAAGTGCTGTAAAGTGTGATGGGTGCTTGTCGAGCTTCTGTTAGTTCAGGAGTGGGCAAGGCTGTGTCCTTGCACCAATATTTTTTCAACACTTGTATGGACTGTAAACGGGGACGAGCTACTGTTCAAAGTCATTGTTGATAACCTCTGGGCAATATTAAGGTTACAGACCTTGACTTTGCTGGTGATGTTGCTATTCTGAGTCTTTGGAAACCTTAGTGGTAGCTTGATGCATTTAGCCATGAAGCAAAGCCCTTGGGTCTAGAGGTCTCCTGGACCAAGACCAAGATCCAGGACTTTGGAACCTGTTCAGTCGGTACATGCTTCCGGCGAGGACACTGAGAGCTTTACATACCTTGGTAGTGTAGTTCATAACTCTGGGCTGTCAGACCAAGAAGTCAGAAGACAGATTGGCCTGGCAGCAGGGGTCATGAACTCTCTCGCCAAGAGTATCTGGAGATGTCGGTACCTGTGCAGAAAGACCAAGCTACGGGTTTACAAGGCCCTGATCATACCAGTTTTGCTATATGGTAGTAAAGCCTTAACATTATCCTGTACCTTTGAGTCTCGTCTTGATGCCTTCTGTAATAGGTCCTTGTGCCGGATCATCGGGTATTGTTGGCGGGACCACATGTCCAACCAATGATTCCACGGTGAGACTGGCTCAGGACCTGTTATCTGCACAATCCGTGATTACCAACTCAGGCTATATGGCCACCTGGCTCGCTTCCCACAGGATGATCCTGCCTACCAGGTTGTCTTTGTAAGACACAACCCGGTGGAGGAGGTCTGTGGGACGACCGAGGAAGTCGTGGCTTGGGCAGACCGATCAAACCTGTTGTGAGGAGCTCGAGATGGGCTGAGTCTCTACCTGGCAGCTTGCTATGAGGGACCCAAAAGGTGGAAACAAAGGGTGGACGTGGTTATGCGCCCCCGTCGGCGTAAGCTTCTAATGATGGTGATGAATGAAATACGCTGTCATATATGCATACATACATTCATGTATATGCATATGTACATATATATATATCTATCTATATATATATATATATATATATATATATATATATATATGTATGTATATGTAATACATATATGGATATATATGCATCATATATATATATATATATATATATATATATATATATATATATATATATATATATATATATATATATATATATATATATATGTACATATATGTTTAATATATATACATGCATTAAGAAGAAAAAAAAAAAGCATTTCGTTTCCCTTCTCAGATAAAGTTTTTCCTATCAAATTGCCGACTCATCCAGTGAAAGCAGATACGCCTGTGGTGGTCACCGGTTGGGGAAGAACCAGTAAGTAATATAAGCACTTAATAAGACATTGAATGGTTAATATATATATATATATATATATATATATATATATATATATGTAAAAAGAAATATATATATTTCTACATGCTGAATACATTTACAAAAATGAAGATTTGTTTTCTTATTTACACTGTTAAAGTGTAGATAAATATGAAATTAATTTCTTATGATCCCACCCCTGCCATTTTTTATGAGAAGCTGAATTTAATGTTTTTTTTCGCTCTGAATATCTATATATTCGTTCTTACCATCGCCTGAATTGCAGTGTCGGAAACTAAAAAAACTACTCTACAAGAGATAGTTACCCGGACCATCACTGTTCAGAAATGCAAGGAGACTTTTCGGTTCGTGGACGAAACCATAATCTGCACACGTGCGACGAATGTTAGCCCCTGTAATGTGAGTCGCTCTTTCTTGGTCTGCTGAATATTTGGGATATACTCTGTCCCTGTCTGTTTCTCTTTCCTTCTGTCTAATTGCCTGCCCGTCTATCTGCTTCTCTCTTTCTCTGTCTCTCTGCCTCTTTCTTTCTGTCTTTATCTTTCTACCTCTCTTTTTCTCTATCTCTCTGCCTCTCTCTTTTTCCCTCTCCATAAGGAAAAGGAATTACGCATAATGAAAAGTTACTTGTTACCTGAAGATAGAATTAATACCTAACATCAGCAGTGGAGATTATTTCTCTGTTTCTCGCTTTCCTCCTCTCTCCCTATCTATCCTTCTCCCTCGTTTCCTGTTTGTTCCTTTCTCCCTTCCTCTGTCTCTTTCCCTATCCATCTGTTTATTCCCTACTTTTCGGTTTGTTCCTTTCTCTCCCTCTCTCTTCCCCTATTCATCTGTCTATTTCTCTCCTTTCCCAGTCCCTTTCTCACTGAACATCACCGTTCATCTATTCCCTCCTTTTCCAGGGCGACTCAGGGGGTCCAGCGATGTACGAAGGCTATCTTGTGGGCCTCGTTTCCTTCGGCAGGAGGGGTTGTAAAACAGACACCCCTCAAGGATTTACTAGTGTTTATCATCACCTCAAATGGATCGAGCGCGCAATGCACCCTAATTACAAGGATCCCAATGGATGCGGTATTTTGGATCTGTCTTTAGTACTTATTGTATTGGCTCAACTATTTCTGTACTTGATATAGGAGTGTTTATATTGATTTTGTTCAAGGCATCCTTTGTGTGTTTATCAACTAACTATGCATAGTTGATAAATATTTTTAAGGGACTCTGAGTTCCATTTACGTAGTGTGGAAATACTTCATTTGCATGTTTCATTTTATTGAAATGCATAATGCAATAAAGTTCTTACAAATTAAGTAAAATGAACGTTTTTACTTCATCACTAAAAGCAATATACTTATCTTTACATTTATAAGAAATAGTTTCCTTGCTAGCTGTTGCAAATATGAAAACTGACAGAAAAACTAAACGCTAATTATTACAATAGTAATTATAATACAATTCTGGATGCAACTAACATATAAAGAGCAAGACATTTAATACTAAATCCTGTTTGGTACATATCAAGAAGGAATAGAAGAGGAAAAATATGCAGCGCAGACTACATAAACCTTTTACACTATTTCTTGCTTTACCAGTGTGTATGAATGAAATTCTTGGAAGCGGTTTTTCGTAGCACGGCAGCGCAGGTGTACACCACAGTGGCTGCAGCTAGCCTTAGATCTTGATTCTTTTTCTTTTCTTGTGTATGAGTTCCATCTGCCTTTTTTGTTGAGCAAGTTCAGGAAAGACTCCAATATTACCAAAGTGCATTGAATCAGACACACCATACACCTACTTACGATGTTTAGTATTCTTCACAGAACTAACAAAAGTCCTCGTATAAGATCTCTAAACTGCAAAATAGGCAGTGAATCCTTGGCATTTTCTTTCTATTCATTTATTTTAAAATTAATGTGTGCCATAACTTTGAAGATTTCCAAGGTATATTAAAAATTAGTAGCTTTGATATCCAATACTATCGTTGCTTTTATAATTACTTAGGCATTCATAGATATTTAGGTAAACGCATTCATAACAAAACAAACTTGCTCAT